GGGGGATGACCTGCCCTTTCAGTGGTATGACTCAGCAGGAGGCCTGTGACTCAGCCTGAGCCCTGCAGGAAGAAGGCCCTATGCTAATTCCAGGGAAGAGGCCAGGGTCCCAGGTGGTGCTGGGTGGAGGCAGGAAGCCCTTCCTAGCCCTAGGCATCCGGCTAACACCACCCCTCCAGATCAAACCCCAGGGAACGTGGACTTTCTGGGTCCTCCCTGGGTCTTCTAGGCTGTGAGTGGTCCAGTCCATCTGCCAGCCTCTCTGTCCACTCTCCAAATGTTTTCCACCTCACCAAGACCCTACCTGGAAACCTGAGGCCATCGCAGCAGGGGCTGTGATGGGGTCTGCTCAGACTCACAGCTGGGTAAGGCAGAGCTATCCCTTCAACAAACCAGGGAACCCAAAAAACAGATCACATATGGACCCCAACCCAAGAGGTGGAGGAGTGAAAAAGGCTAGGGGGCCACGGACAAGCCCACCACTCAGGAGCAAAACTACGAGCATGGGAGCTGGTATGAACCTCAGTTGTATAGTGCTAGCTTAGCATATGCAAGGACCCGGGCTCTGTCCCCAGAACTTTGAAAGTGAGTCAAATTATTAAATACAGACATGGGGTGGAAGCCTGTATGGTGGCACATGCTTATAATCTGAGCACTTGGGAGGACCAGGCAGTTTGAGCTCATCCTCAGCTACACTGCAAGCTTGAGGCCATCCTGTTCCATAAAACAAGACCCTGTGTGATAAAAACAAAAACATGAAAAACAAAAACCATGAGATGTACCAAGAACAGGTAGAGGCCCAGGAGGCCCAGGAACCCCAACGCTGCTGAGGCAACAGGCAACAGGTGTGTCCAGAGCATGCAGAAAGGCTGTCAGGGAACAGGCAGAGATGACGGCCCTGGCAGGGGACAGGAGGTAGCCAGCTAGGGATCCCAGCTAGACAGATGCTAAACAGCCCTTGTGACAGCAACAGGGGGACCTGGGATGGGCTCAGGGACCCTGGGCACCCCAACTAGCCTGAGCTCCCTGTCCCTCCTCCTGGCAGTCCAAATGGTCAGCTGGGGCGGGGGGAGCCACAGGAAGTAGAGTTGACCCCAAGGGGACCCCATGGCTGAAACCCAAACAGTTTAGTCTCCACCAAGAGGTGCAGTGAGAGTTGACAGAAGAGCACACAGCGGACTTTGTTTAAAAACACAGAACACAGGAAGCGTTTGGCAGGGTGAGGGGGTGCACCGGGGGTGGGGGGGTGCCACGGCATGGGGAGTGTCAGGACGGGTGGTGCAGACATGGGCATCACTTTGTCCATGAGTGAGTAAGGAAGGGGACCAGTGTGTGACAGTGGCGTGCAGCTACTGAGCGCCAGCCAGTGTGGTAGCAGAGGAGCAGCCAGGGTCCCCCTCTGAGCAGGAAGAGTAAGAAGAGGGAGGGGAGCTGGGGTGGCACACACCTTTAGTCCTAGCACTGGAGGCAGAAGCGGGTGGATCTCTGTGAGATTGAGGCCAGCCTGGTCTACACAGTGAGTTCCAGGACAGCTGGGGCTACAGGGAGACCCTGTCTCAAAGACCAAAAAAGAAAAAGGGGGTGGGGGGGGTGGGGAGAGGAGGAGGAGGAGGCAAGTAGAGGGAGGGGAGGGTATAGACAAGAGAGGTAGAGGGAGGAGGGCTAGGTGGGACAGGTAAAGGGAAGGGAGGGGTATCAGATTAAGACAGAGGGAGAGGAGGAGGTGGATAGAGGAGGAGAAAAGGGAGGGGAGGGGAGAAGTGGAGGAAGGAGACCCAGGAAAAGGAAAGGCTTGCCACTTGCCCTGTGCACATGCATCAAACCACTGAGGGAAGGAAAGGCCAGCTCAGGCTCGGCCTGAGAACCTGCCTACTCTATCCCGCCCCTGGAGTCCAGCTGAAGGGGTCAGGCTGGCACACCCCTGCACCTGTCCCAGCCACTGGACTCTGTAACTTAAGCCTGACTATGGGTACACTTCCTGCCACTTCCCTGGACAACCCAGCTGGTCTCAGGGCACTGGCCACATGGCTGTGAGTCCGGCCAGGCTCAGGAAGCTGTAACAGCAGCTTCACCCTCATGATTACCAGCAGCACCCAGGACCAGCAAGCTTGTCCACAGATCCCCAAACTAGCTTTCCTGAGAGTGCAGGACAGGGCAGGCCTAAAGGACATCTGAGAGCCAACATGCCCTCCATGTCCGGGGGTGGGGGTGGGGGGATGGACAGGCTCTTCACCCAGGGCCTTTCCTATTCTCTACCAATACTTTAGCCTCAGGTCCACCCAGTCCAGTCCACATCCCAAGTGACCTCAGTGTCCCTGTACATCTTGGCCCCTCTTTGCCATCAGCCCGGCATCCCCAGTCATCCCGTAGCTCAGGGCCTTTGGGGCTGGGGCAAGGGCTGCTGCATCACCTGAGTCTGCATAGCAACAGGTGAGAACAAAGCCCTGGCTCCCTGCCAGGAAGGGGACTAGCTGACCTGGGAAGGGGGGCTGACACCACAGGTAATGGGGAGGTACTGAGGGGAACCCTGAGGGGCCAGATCACCAGGGGGTGATGGAGGTGGTCTACAGTCAGCCAACTTATCCCTGCCTGCTTCTAAGACCTGGGTGCACAATGCTGGTGAGCTGGGGGGGTGGGGGCTGGAAGTGGTACTCAGGTTAGGCTCCTCTGCCACGTGGTCTTAGCCTGATTCCGTGAGTGCAGGGTCTGACTCTGGAAAGAGGAAACCAGAGCAGCCACTTGACTACTGGGCCCCAGAAGGGTCCAGAGGACATGGAGATACAAGAGCCTGACACCCCACCCCCCACCCTGAACCAGACCCCCGGGGAAGTCAGGCTGGGACTCAGGAAACTGTCCCTTTGTTACCAGCAGAAGCCTCTTCCTGGGGACCCTCCCACAGAAAGAATCCTCTTTCAAGGCCCTAGTAAAGGCCCAGGCTCTCCCAGGAGTCTTGTCCAGGGGCCCTGGCTGCTCTTAGATGGATGTCATGGGGACTAGCCTACCAAGTCCAGTGCCAATCTTGGGCCCACTTACGGGCTTAAGATCCTGGCAGCCCAGTCCACCCCCCCTAGGAAGAACTTGAGTGTCCGTGCCAGCTACCCCCACCCCCTTCCAGGGCATCCGCTTTCACAAGAACAAAGGCGGCCGGCCAGGCACTTCTTATGCTTCCTGAAGGAGTCTGAGCTCAGGGCCTGCACCTAGGAGGACCTCCCAGGGCTGCATCTCAGAAGCCCGGGAAGAACTCTCCCAGCATAGAGAGATGGAATCAGACTGCCTGCCCCAGCCCCAGAGCTTCCTGCCTCGAACACCGCCAGCAGCCAGCAGGGGTTGTGGGGGATAGGGAGATCGGAGAGAGGAAAGATGGTGAAAAGCTGGTAGCCTCTTCTGACATGTAGTTGGAAAGGGTTCCCTTTCCCTTGTGTCATTCTGTGGCTGGTAAAACTGAGGCTTGGGAAGATAAGGTGTCCATATAAGAAACACTCTCCTAGCTTGGAAAAACCTAAAGGTGGACTTGCTGCAGCCCCAACAGACAGATATGGAGACTGAGGCTCAGAGAGGACTCTGGGCCTTAGAGGTAGCAAAGTCCACACGGGGTCAGCCAGGCAGTCTACTGCCCTAGCCCCTCCCACACAGCACTTGGGCACAGTGCCCACCTGCTCTGCAGGCCCTGTGGGGTTGCCATGGAGACACGGCCCTCTCTTTCCTCCCTAGGCTCAACCAGGCAAGACTTTGGGAGGGAGGGCACGAGCACCCCTTGTTGCTTTCAGTAAGTGAGGGTTCACATACACGCTTTCCTATGAGTACCCTGCTGCTGTGCCAGAGCAGGGGGTGGGTGGCCTTGGGCCCATGGGACTCCTGAGGCCCCTGAGACTCCAGAAGATGAGAATTCGGAAGGTGAAAAGCTGGGAGATAAGAGAAATGGGCCAGGAGAGCCCAGCTAGGCAGCCCCCGACTCCTTTTCTACCCTGGATGCTGAGGCACAACTGTGAATCAGGTCCCCTGGAAATTCTAGACCTCTTGTTGGGACCCAGTCTGCTCCCCAGCTGCCTGCCCACGAGCTGCCAGGCAGGGAAGGAAGTACCTGTCCTACAGGCCTGTCCTCATAGCCTGGCTATGGAGGCCTGGCCTTGCCTCCTCTCCTTCCACCATGCTGTGCCTCCTCCCACACCTCTGGGTGCAGCAGATGTACAGGCCCAGAACAGAGCAGAGGCCAGCAGAGTTGTGGCAGGAGACACAAGTTTCAGGGCTGACAGGATGATAGCTATAAAGGAAGCAGTCCTGTAGCCTGCCCCACCCTGACCCCAACTCCAGCCTTATCCACCCACTTTTCTCTGGTCCAGGGAGCCCCAATATGGTTACCACTTCCACAAACCAGGCTCCCAAGGCTAAACACCTGGGCCGTTACACAGAGCAGGACATGGCTATGAGTGTGACCCAGTCCCGGAGCAAGATCAAGGCTCCCAGACCCTATCCATCTCGGAGTGGGCTTGCTCATCACGGAGAAACATTCTGACCCACAGCCCTGCCTACACAGGGACCTGGAGGCCAATGAGGGCCCAGAGTTGGCACTCTGCTTCAGGCACTGATCTCTTGACCCAAAGGTGGTCACTAGAGCACAGGTATCTCAGGAATGTCCACTTCTACCAGACCTCCTCCACATTCCTGCACCCCTCCCATCCCCATTAGGAATTCCTTAAAGTAAACACAGGCAGGCCTCTGAGGGCACCAGGGGCTCCTAGCATGTCTGCAGTACCTCCCAGCTACATACTCAGCACCTGTTCCCTGCCAACTCTGGGGTGGCCCTTGTGGTGCCCATTCAGCCTTCGCCTTCCTGTCCATCCAGGGATGCTGAAAGAACAAAGACACCTACCACTGGCCTGCTCTGCCCCTAGCAGTCCTGCCCTAGACTCAGTCTCTCTCTGTGGTGACCTCACCAATCCCATTGTCTTGTCTGAGGTGAACTATGTGACTGGAGCAGCACAGGCAAAAACAGACCTTACCTGGCCCAGGTCCAGGGTGACGTTGACCTCGTTATACTCCAGGCCACGGGACAGAGGCGGACTCTGCCACCAGCGCTCGGTGCCATCGATAGCATTGCTCGCAGGGTGTGCCTTGTTGTTGCTGGCAGCTGTGCAGATGTCGCAGTATTGGCCCTGCAGGGAGGAGGGCACGGTCAGATGACCCAGAAGGTCTGGGAACCCCTTGTCCCCTCTAGAGCCACATTCCTGCCATATGAGCCCCAGATTCCATCCTCAACCTTCAGATGCTCATCGACCACATGTGTTAGGTCAATTCAAGGGCTATGGCTCCTGTGAGACAAGTCACACACATCACAGAAAAACTAGGGTGGGAGTGGACACCTGTTTTAGGCAGTAGCATCTGAGACCTTCAGGGCAAAGGGACTACGCTATGGTACAAAGGGTATTGCAGAGGCCTTCAGACCAGTGCAGTTAGAGCCAAAGGAAAAAGGGACAAGTGTGGACAAGATGCACTCTACCACTCCCACCACCACTTTCCCTGCTGGCCACTGCAAGGAACTCTATAAGGGGTTGAGCAGTGTGGGGTAAGGTGGATGAGGAGGGTAAGCTACAGGAAGATCACCTGGTGGAGAAAGATCCTAGGAGAGTCACCCCCCCCCCGCAAGCCTGTCCCCAGAGGCCCCACCTGGGCCTCCTGTCGTGTACCCTATGGAAGAGGGTCTCCAGAGACAGAGTTAAGCTACGGGGAGTCTGTGGGGCCTGGGCTGGAAGACAAAAGTTCGAGGCAATGGCAGGAGGCCTGGCCCTCCTGACTGAGCCCTGGGACACAGCACAGCTCCCTAGAAGCCCTGGTGTCCCCATCTGCAGGGTGGGGATAATGGGGCACCTGCTCACTGGGATGAACAGATACACACAAGGCTTGAGCTGCTAGAGTCACAGCCCAGTCACCTGCTGGGGCCTGTGGGACGCTACAGCAGAGTCCTGGACTGCTAACTCTGGTGTGGGAGGGTCAGGGGCAGGGCCATGAGAGCCCACCCCCTCACCCCATGAGGAAACCTTACCTGTCCTACACACAAAGGCAGCTTTAGAGACCTGGCCCAGAAGGTGGCCCTACCCCTCCCAGGCTGAGGGTAGGGGACAGACCTCCTCTCCCAAGAGGGGGTTGGGGTATAGGAGGTCTCTGCAAAACCAGCCCCTACTTGACATAGTAGACCCTTCCCTGGAGTTCCAGCTAGTCCCACTGTGTGTACTCAATCCAGAAGGCAGCAGACACCATGTTGTCTGTGGTCCTGGAGATCCCAGGTGCTGCCTGCCATCTGGGTCACTCTTGCCTGGTAGTCTTTGTAAGACTTCATGCTAGCTGTGTCCTCCATCTTAGTTTAGATGTCAGTCCCTGGGCAAGGCATTGCTCTGGACCACCCAAGAAGTTGACCTGCATCCTGCCAGGCTTTGCCTGCTATATTTATCCCAACAACCATCTGGCTAGTCCCACCAGGGCCCCCAGAGCTCTGCAGTGGCGGCACACCTTTCCTGCTCCACCACCCGGAACTGTTGCACAGAGGGGTTACGGGAATGGTCAGCCTGTCTGCGCCAGACTAAGTCTAAGTGGTTACCCCCCGCCCAAGCAAAAACCTGGGTATCCTCGGCCTACAGAGCTTCAGGGGACACAAAAAGGGGCCCAAAAGGCTCAATGACAAGACACCCCATGGGTGCTGGCCAGGGTGGGGCTGGGCAGAAGGATGTAGTTGAATAGGCCTCCCATGGAGGCTGTTTGCTGGTCCAGACCCAGTGGGACACAAGAGCACCCCCAGAACCCGGGCCAAGGGTCAAGGATGCAAGAGGGGCCTCTAGTTTTCCAGGAGCCCAGAGAAGTAAGTGTGTGACCCTTTCCAGGTGACAGAGGATCTGGAGAGTTAAGAGAACAGCAGTGCAAGTCCCTGCTCAGCAGCAAGCTCCCTTGGTGGCCAGTGTTTCCCTACTGACACAGGGCTGGAAAACCAGACTCCCTCCACCCCTCTGCTCCACAGGGTCCTGACGGGAACAGAACTAGGAAATACAGGGGCTGATTAGGACTTCCTCTCCTAGTGAGTCACCAGCTGGCCTGGCCCAGGGTGGCACAGTTCCTCTCTGATGCCCACCTGAGACTGGGCCGGCAGCAGTGTTAGCTGCCCTCTGTCTGCCCTGGGTACCTACTCTCTTTGTCCAGAGGCCCACTAGGACTTCGCCCAGGCTCCTCTGTGGGATGCCAAGGTCCCATTCTGTTGCACAGAGGGCCCCTGCCTTCTTGGGGCCATGCTGTGGGGTTAGGACCTGTGTCCTCGATGCCTCACTCCCCACCCCATGCTGGACACAGTGGGCCCTTGAGATGCGGCCCCAGGCCACTTGGTTCCCAAGCTGGGCCTGTACCACTCACTATAAGGAAGTGATGATACCATACAGAGAGATACAGAGAGATGATACCATACAGCAGATAATCCTCCAAGTGGGCCAGTGCACAGGTGGATCAGGGGGTGGTGGTCTGGGACTTGATTTCCCACCTCAAGAAACAGCAAACTCTTAGCTAAGCAGTGAGGAGGGTCTACGGAGCCCAGCCAGTCCTTCTTCAGCAGGTACGAAGCTCCCCTCAGGGGCCCCCTCCTAAGACCCACCCTCCTTACAACCACATGCAGGGAGCCCCCAGTCAAGGGGCACACCACTCTGACTGCTTGCTCCAGCTGGACCCCATTCTGGCTTGTAAGCCTTCAAGCAGGTGTCTGCACCTTTCCAGGCCTCAGGTTCCCGGTCTTGGAAGCTGCCCCTACACTTATTCTTACAGAATGTAGGAGGCCAGAGCACGGGGGATCCTGGTCTCTCTCAGTTCCCTCCTCCCGACTTGGAAGCCCATGGGGGGGGGGTCGCCGAGTGGGCAGGCAAGGAGGGTGGTGGCCTGGTAAGGAGTGGGCAGAGCTAGGCTCTTTCCTCACCACCATTAACTCATTTTCAGCTGTCTTCTCTTTCCCCAGCCTCCTTCCACGGAGGTGGAAGCAGATCCCTACAAGAGGCAGTTTGAATTACACAGGCCCTGATGGCCCCTGACTCGCCCTAACGCGGGGCAAGGATGAGCAGTCTGTCTTAGGATGGACTGCAGGGAACACTGGAGCGCTAGACTTCGCCGGCAAGGCTGACCCCAGCCCCGACAGAAATCCAGAGTATCTGATCGGTCAGCTCTCCCGGTGATGGGGTCCAGCTGCAGGGCCACTTGGCCCACCTGCAGGCTCAGCCTGAGGGTCAGTCCTCGGGAGAGTCTTTTAGGAGCCTGAAACGCACAGATCCACCACCTGCTGAGCAGGGCCCTGCCCCGAAGGCCCACAGGTGTTCCCGCTCAGTTCCACCTGGCCTGCCGGCCCTCGCCCACCTCCCACCGAGAAGCTTCAATCCTCTGCTGGGTTAGTGAGCGACCAAGAGACCGTAGCCCTAAGGGCGCCGCGCGGCTCTTGCGCACGTTTGGTTCCCATCAGGAGGCCAACAGGTTCCAGCCGGTCCCGGGGGAAGAAAGAGTTCCCGCCCCCTCCCCACAGCAAGTGTGCACCGTGGGAGGAACTTAGCCAAGTTCCGCCCTCCCTGGGATCCCGGACTCGGAGCCACCGGGGACTGGGTACCGGTCTCCTCCAGTCTAGGTCACCGCCACCGGGCTGCGCCGGCCCCGCGGGCTCCTGGTCCGCCTCAGGGACGCTTCATTGGCCTTTCCAGCAGGACGCGCAGTTTCTGCGCAAGTTTCAGTAGCCGCGTTGGGGTACTTTTTGGTCGGTCCCTCAATGCGGAACCACCGAGTCCGGGCGGGAGAGTCGGGACCCTTGCTTGGACTCTCCTGGGGCCCGGGCACCCCCGGGAGTCGGCTGGGTTCCGGCGCTCCGGTGGGAACACCGCTGGACGGTGCAGCCAACTCCTCCCCGCGCTCACCTGGATGGTCTGGTTGGGGTCCCCGCCGGCCACGGGGCCCCCCACCAGCTTGCAGTAGAGGTCCTCCGTGGGGCGCGGGGCGCCGCGAGCCGGGGCCTCTTCGCCGCAGGTCGCGGACGCGGCGATGCGGGCACCCTCCGCCAGGTTGAAGTAGGGCGGGTGCAGGCTGAAGCCATCGCCCGCGGGGGCCCGCGCCTCGCCCAGCAGCACCAGCCCGGCCAGCAGCAGCAGCAGCGGCGGCGGCGGCGCGGGGCCCCAGGGACCACCGACGTGCGGTGCGCTCCCGCTGCACAGCCGCGCGCCGCGCTTCGCCATCTTCTGGCTGGGGCAGCGTCTT